AACAGACGGGGAAGCAGGTCAGTCAAGTCATTCAACAAACATTTGCTCAGCACCTTCTGTGTGTCTCTAGGAAGATGCTGACCCACACGGGGAGTGGAAAATAGAGAGGACTTGCCATTCCCCTGCAAGCAAGTGAAGAACGTTAACTTAAGTGGCTCACGGTGATGGGTCAGCTTTCGGCTTATGCAAATGCTATGAGCCTGGCTGGACACCAGAAGACTCAGGCCAGAGATCCTGAAAAAAATGAGTGTCCAGTTCTCCCATGTCTAGCCTATGGCCTCCAATTTCTAGACAAGAGTTCATGTCTTATACGTAGAGGCCCCTCAGCATCAGCTCAGAAGATGCTGTCAGTCTCTGAGGGAGGAGGAAGGCCTTGGTGAGAACAAGCATGGGCCTGGGATCTGCTCCCAGCTCCTCCACAGTTACAATGAGTGGGACCAGAGTGAGTCACTCTCACCCACCTACGCCATGACAGAGAATCTGAGACAGGAGTATGGAGGGGCTTTGATAACTGCCAAGAAATCGAGTCACCATGAGCAATATGGCCTGGACAAATGCCCTGGGGTGACCTGAGGGAATCTTATCATTCCAGAAGACTGGAGTACTTGGCCAGTGAGTGAAACAGAAAAAAGTCACCTTTTGCCTGATGACCCAGTGGCTTTTTGCCAAAAGCCCCTCCAGCCTCTGCAAAGATGTCCATTGCTCTCATATCCCTGGACCCCAAATAATCCTTCACTATCTGACACAGACATCCTGACAGAGGAACAACTTTGGGAGGAACCTCTGTGGGAGACAGAGGGAAGAAGGGACCACCTTACCTCCCCCCAGGTCAGCAGCGGGGAACCAGATGTTGAGCCCATTGCTCACACATCTGCTGGCTGTGTTCAGTCAGCTTCATTTACAGCCTCCTGTCCAGCAGCTCAGGCTCTCAACAAAGACCTGACCAACATGGAGACGGCCCAGGGGAGGGCTGGGTTACGAATGCCACCGGCGGGCTGCCAGCACAAACTGGTGAGAGGACAGGCACATTCTTCTCTGACAAGTAGCAATCAATGTTCACCGTGCTGCCTGGGCTGTAGGCTGACACCCAGAGAGCAGGCTGACCCTGGACTGCCTGATCCTTATCTTGAGGCAACAGTAGCAGCAGTGCCTGGAACAGGGGCTCAGGAAATATGGAACACCTGACCGAAGAAGATTCCAGCCCAGGGCCACCACTCCATGGTCCTTCCTGCCAACCCTGCTCTCTGTTTAACCAGGAAAATGCAGAGGCCAGGGAGCCAGTAGGACAATAAAGCAGGTGTCCAAACCAGATGGAGAAGTTATGGAGGGAACCTACAACCCACTAGGTGCCGCACACAGTGCTAGGTGCTCTGCACACGTTTTTAAATGTACTCTTCCAAACAACTCTTTGCAGCAGAAACTATTATTCACATTCTGCAGATGAGAAGACTCAGGTTCGGAAAGGTTAAGTGGCTTAGTCACAGTCCTGAGTTAATATGTGGCAGAGCCAAGATTCCATTCAAGTCTATTTGACTGCAACAGAGCAGTGACAAGGGGGCCAGAGCACGAAATTCACAAGTGAAATTGCCTCCAAATGACATGTGACCTCCCAGAAAAGCGGGCAGGACTGAAAGAGACAGGGAAGGAAAAGACTCAGCTGGTCTCTCAGGAGCAAAGACCCATGCAAGTACTTGGGTAAGGGGCTCAGCACCCCTCCCCCACAGCTCTCCACAGAAACCCGTCTGTGTGTGTTGATGCGGGCTCCTTCATCCAGCCCTAATACAACATCGAGGAGAAGGAAAATGGTGGGCAGTGGCTCCTTCTCTCTTTCTCCCCGCTTTTTCCGTTTCTGGCAGGATGACGTCTGCTCCCACACTTGCTGACGCTGCCAAGCCCAGGTCACAAAGAGAACAACAGGACATCACGGCCAAGGGGTACGCACATTGATGATGACACCTTTGTCGAGCAGGCTCTGCTTCTTGGCAGTCATGACGAAATAGTGGGTACAGTCCTTGTAGTAAACAATGTTCTCAAGATCAATCCCTGAAAAGAGAAGCATTCATGGACTCAGTATCACCTCCCGTGTGCCAGGAGCTCAACCTTCCCTCATCGTTTACCTGCAGAATATTCATGTTAGATGAGTGTTTGAGACACACAAGGCTGAAAAAGATAAAACTGAGCGCCAGTGTTTATCTGCCTCAACTCAGCCAGCTTTTATAGTCCCACAAAGATACTATTTATTTTCTTTTAAATTGAGATATAATTAACATAGAGCATTGTGTAAATTTAAGTGCACAACATGTTAATTTGACACATTTATGTTTTACAATATGATTAGGGCACTGTTTCTTTTAAAGCTTGGAAGTCCTCAGGGGCTGTGGACCAGTATTTCCAAGTCAGAGCTGAGTAAGCGCTACGGAAAGGCAAAGTGCTGCTGGTGGCCTGGCAGCGAGGCAATGACAGAGCCCAAATCTGAACCCAGGCCTATCTGATTCCAAGTTCCACCCACCACACCCTCCATGTGGCCAGAGATGCAAAGAGCTGCGTGAATTCTCCGAAGACGATGCTAAGCCACGTTTCTACCATGTCCTTGCTGTGTGTGGAAACCCAGGTGCCCTGGGAGGAGCCACTCAGGTTAGGGGGCTGGATTGTATCTTTTTGCACTTTCCTCCAATTGCAAAAACAGTTTATAGATTAGGTTTCTGCATTTAAAACAATGTTGTGAGATGAGAGCTTAGCTCCGTGGCTCTCAAAGTTGGATCCTGGCCAGCAGCATCAATATCACCTGAGAATTTATTAGAAATGCAAGTGATCAGGGCCCTACCCAGACCTACTGAAGCTAAAACTATGGGGGTAGGGCCAGCAGTCTGTGCTTTAATAATCCCGACTGGTGATTCTAGTTCACGCTCAAGTTTGAAAACCTCTGGCTTCTTCAAAGCGAAAGAAACAGACGCATAGCAACTTATCAGCAGTCAACACAGAGGTGTACTGGGTAATCATAGCGACCCCTTTATTACCATTAAATAGGAAACGGCCATCAATGCAGAGGGCCCCCCAGAGAATCAGAGGAAATTCATCGCTGTCATTGTGTGAGGGACGCTGTTGTGAAACGATGGCCAAAGGTGACGACCACAGCAAAGTTTAAAGGAAACTCATTGAAACCTTCGGGAAAACACACTCAGTCTCCTGCCATAATTTTTTGGTGGTTTATTTAAGTATTTATTTTCTTGGTTTTTGAGGGGAAGGGAGGGTCGGAGATTCTTAAATCATTCAAAGGGACATAATATGCTGAAAGGAAATACTTTTTTTTTTAATAAAATAATGCAACTGTGGTGAAATTCAGAGGGTCATGCAATGGGCACAAATCACTGCGGCCAGTGAAAGGCAGAGTCTGGCTCAGGAACAAATCCCACTCCTAGAAAACTATCTTCACAAAATAACCCAACAGAAGCAGTTTTAGCTGTAACAATAACTGAAAGGTCTAAATTGGGAGTCAGCAGACTTTTTTTTATGTAAAGGGCCAGATAGTAAATATTTTGGGCTTTGTGGGCCACCCAGTCTGTGGCAACCACTCACAGTGAAGCAGCCACAGGCAATATAAACAAATGGGCATGGCTGTGTTCCCATAAACCTTTATTTAGGGACATTGAAACTTAAATTTCATATAACTTTTAATTTGTCACAAAATATTCTTTTGATTTTTCTTCAGCCACTCAAAAATATTAAAATCATTCTTAGCTTGAAGGCAATACAAAAACGCCTGGCCAGTTTGTCGCCCCCTGGTTTAAGCGCTTAAGCAGTAACAATACATCCACTTAATGAGCTATCCCGCCAAAATGGACCATCAGGTGGACTAGGTTGCAACATGGACTACATTTAAAATGTGATACTGAATGAGGGATGGATAACCAAGAGTACTGGCACTATGATGCGAGCTAGATCTCTGTAAAAAGAATTCAGATGGAAACTACCAAAAAGAAGCTTATGAAAATGAGGACTATTCATGAGCTACGTGGCGCTAGGTGTGGATGATTTATTTTTAGTGTAAAGATTTAACACTGCTGTGGCACTGCCTTTTCAAGGAGAAATATATTTAAATCAGGTTAATAAGAAAAATCTGGAATTTACTTAATTGGGAGCAGGTGTTTCATCCCTCACTTTCCCCTCATTCTGCTTTGTTCCCGCCCCCGCTCCCCACCATCCTTATAGACCACCTGACAGTTAGTTATGTGTTTATTGACAGTCTTCCCTCATAAAGTATAAGCTGCAGGAGTGGGGTTTTGTTTGGCCCACTGTTCTATGTCACACCCTTGAATAGCATCTGGTACCTAGTAGGCATTCAATACATATTTGTTGAATGAATACTTTATTTTCTCAGGGCCCTTGTCTGGGGGACAACTGATACCTCTGGGTGAGTGTCATGCTCCCCAGCCATCTCTGGACATCCTTCAAGAGGAAGGGCAGGTGGCGCACTGCACAAAAGCACCTACACTTTTTCAGGGGCCACCCACAGGTTACTGGCTTCCCACTTAGCACTCCCTGAATCTCATGCTGACCTCCGGCATACACTAAGCAACCTGCATTAGGACGGTTAATGTGGGTATCCCTCCCTGGACAGGGAGCCACTTCGGGTGGGGACCGTGTTAGCCTTGACTTTATACTCCACAATATTGAATATCAGCACAGAGTGGACATTCAGTACATGTCTCCTGAGTAAATAAATGTGCATCTCTATTCGGGTACAACATCGAGAACTTTCCTTCCAAGATTCCTCCTGTCCTCAAAGGAATCCTGCCCGTTATTATCCTAAGGAGACATCTCTGTCTTCACTTAATCAGAGCGAGTCTCCCAGTCCCAAGAGCCAAGAAAGCCAGCTGTTCCTTGGGGCACTTTAGGAAGTATGGACAATGGCCTGGTTTGGAGAAAGGTGACCGTCTCACCTGTTTCTTCTTTAAGGTCCTGGAAAAATTTCTGATTGAAGATGAAAGCCACACCACTAATTTCTTCTACTTTGGCCTCAGCTGTACTGTTTCTGTTAATGAAGTTGGCGGTGATTGCTATAGCCAACTTCCCACGAAATTCTTTTCTTCTGAACCCTGTGTAAAGAAAAGGGAAGAAATGGGTATTCTGGATTTGGTGTGAAAACTGAAAAAGATTATTGAGAAAGCTATTCTCAGATGCCCCCCAGGCCAGTAAAATCAGGATTCTGGATGTCTAGAGAACAGGGGCAGGCAAAAATGCCAAGGTTTGCACCCAAAGAAGAAATACATCACCAGAGGCCTTTCTAAATCAGTGGGACTTTTTCCTTTTCTAAAATCTATAAGACCCATTATCCTGGTTAGACTTCAACAGACAAAAGGCTGAAGTGATGTTCTCTAAGAGGCAATCACAGGGTCATCCTGCTAAAGATGTGTTAGACATTGTTGCTAGGTACACTCGTGAAAGACCCACGTGCACTTTAAACTTATACAATTAAAACTACTTTATTAGCATTTCTGTTTTTTCCCCCTCTGAAAAGTGGGATTGTGAGATTGAATTCCTGTAGAATAGGAATATTAACAAATTTTCTGTCTCAAGTTCACAGTAGTTGGCACTTAGTACACACTCAATAAATGTATAATGAATATGTATAACAAAATGCATTCTAACTTGCAATTAAGTTAGTACAGTGATTCCTCGGGGTAATTTTTTTCAATGGTTTACACTGAAATTGCTTTTTAATGGTGATAGGAATTCTGCACCCAATTACAATGTGGTTTTCCCCCCACTATGAATGCACTCGTGTGTGCACACACATGCATGCGCACACATGCACCAACAAGCAATTCTAAGACACCAGCTGGGGGTTCTACAATTATTCTCGATTCTGATATTGTGTATCCAGAGATAGCATCAGATTCCATAGGTTAGAGGCTCAGTACCACAAGACTGCCCTCCACTTCAGATTGCAAGTCCATGTTTCTGACCAATCAGCTATAGATTAGAAGTTCCAAGGACCACCCCCCCCCGCCCCCCCGCTTGGATTAATTTGCTAGAGCTCATAGAATTTCCAGAAACATTTTACTTGCTAGATAACTCAGGAACAGCCAGATGGTAGTTTTAATTGTATAAGTTTAAAGTGCATGTGGGTCTCTCAGAGATGCATAAGACAAGGTATGGGGAAAGGGTGCTGAGCTTTCATGCCCACTAGGAGACCACCACTTTCCCTAAATATCCATGTGTTCACCACATGGAAGCCCTCCAAACCCTCTTCCTTTGGGTGCTTCATTAGTTAGGCAGGCTTGATTAAATCATCGACCACTGGGGAGGGAACGAAATCTCTACCCTTTTTCCTTCCAGGCCATCTCTAGGGATTTTCCAAAAGTCACCTCATTAACATAAACTCAGGTGTGGTTGAAAGGGGCTTGTTATGAATAACAAGGCACACTTTTCATGTTTATGGCTCTGAAGGGATTTCAGGAACTGAGGAAAAGAGATCAAGTATTGTTAACAGAAGATGCTCCCATTGTTCTTATCACTCAGGAAATTTCAAGGGTTTTGGGAGCTCTGTGCCAGAAAGGGACAAAGATCAAATATATATTCCCTATTATAAATCACAGTCTCAAAGGTGGTTACACAGAAAACCACAAGCAGGTGGTCACATTTCAATGGACCATTTTCTAATCCCCCTTTCTTTTTGGAATCTACCTATTCCTATAGTTCTGAATTTTCCCTATGCCCTAGACACTGCTGTTTAACTCAAGGCACTAATCATACTAGCGGACTTGCTGGACATGACCTTTGTCTTCAGCCACCTTTGAGAATTCCCCTCACATTCCCTTACCATGTAATCAAGCCTCATGCTGATTCTCAAACTTCTGTCAAATATCCCTTTCACTAAAAATCTTAGGTATCTATTCAAAACCTACTTCTTTAAGTTGTTTGTCATTAGACCTTAGTCAAAACAGTCAGAAATGGCCATCATTCTCCAGTATTTTTTTAACTTGGGGTGATTTTGCCACCCAGGGGACATTTGGCAAAATGTGGAGACATTTCTGGTTGCCACGACTCGGGCTGCTGCTGGTTTCTAGTGGGTAGAGGCTAGGAATGCCACTAAGAAGCCTACGATGTCATGGGGATAGTCCCCAAGATAAAGAATTATCTGGCCCAAAATGTCAGTAGTGCCAATTGAGAAACCCTGCTCTAGTCTAAATCCTTGGTCCAAAGTTGCTCAAATGGCTCTCCTCCTTCCCATCCTTTTCATGTTCATGAAATGCCAAACCATACTGATGCTGAGCATGGATCCTGGATTTTCAAAATTCAGACTGTTTCCTCAAGCCAATAAAATGGCCCCATAAACTCTAACAGCACAACATACAGATTGGCAGCTTAAAAATTCTTTGTCAGATATTGGTTGTTGATTACAGGGGATGGGGAGTAGGTATGGAGGCGAAAAAAGAGAAATGCACTGGCTGCAAAGCAGGTGGGAGGGGCCTTGGCTGGCCCACCTCATATCCTGAATTCTCTAATATCTGTCTGCTGCCCTTGAGCAGGGCAAGCTTGACAAGCAGACTTGCACCCAGTCAAAGAGATCCCACGCAGGACTACTTTATCACCATCTATGGTCTCGAATTAGTAGTTAGTGCAAACCAGTACAACTTGTACATTAGTTAATTAATCTTGGAGCTGGAGTAGAGGTGACTGAAGTCCTGTCCTGGCAACTGGGTTCCTCTCTCAACCTAACTAAATCCTACCCCAAGAAAACATGTTATGCTTCCGAATTTAGAACTCAGAGAAGCATGGTTTTGCACCGTGAGTTTGGGCAAAATTCATCTTACTGCTCAGCAGTGAGTGTGCTCAAAAATTATGAAAAGATGGGCTCCTTCTTCTGGAATATTATACTTGACAGTAAACTCCTACTATTACTAGTATAAAAATGCTTATCTTAGTTAAACGGTGTATGAAAATGCTTAGCATCATGGCTTGTACATTGGCAGGTGTTCAATAAATGTTGATTTTTTTGCTTTTAATTTTTGTGGCATTTTACCTTTATAAAGCATTTTTACATATAAGTCCTTCCCCAACCCTTACAACAATGCTCTGAGGTTTTATACCGCAAGTTTTACAGCTGGGAAAACCGAAGTTTGGAGAGAATTAAATAGTTGCTCTCTAAATACTCAGCCTCAGTAAACACACATAGAATATACAGATGTCAAATTATAACATACACCTGAAAATTATATAATTGTATTAACCAATGTTACCCCACTAAACTTAATATAAACAAACAAATAAATACTCAGCCTCAGGTACGGCAGTGTGGTCTGCCCTTCCATCAGGACCCCAAACCAGCTTTGGTAACTGGCATCTTGCCCCTTCTTCTTTCACCCGCTTCTAGATACACCCCCTCCTACTATTAGCCACCTCACCCCTACCCCACCCCCACCCCCCACCAAATCCTCAGCCCTAAGAAGGAGAGTCCTCACCTTCCAGTGTGTTCCTGCGGCCATCAGCACCAATGATGACATCAAACTCAAACTCTGACAGAGAGTGGTCTGCAGGGAGAAATTCTGCCCGCCAGCCAATTTCTACCAGGACAGAAAAATGAGATGAGTTGGCAGAGAGAGGTGGGAAGACAGAGTGATCATACTCCCAACGTGTTAGTCAGGAGAAATGGACATTGCCACCAGGTACATAAGCACCCCAGACACAGCCTCCAGAGGAAAGACCTGGAGTTGCCCAGATTCACACTTGAATCTGGAGTCCTCTGGCTTTAGTTTCAGTTCAATCCAGGACAAGGGAAATCAGCAGCGCTAAGTACTGGTTTCTAGAAAGGCTAGGAGTCTCTCTTCAATGATTCTCAAACCAGTATCACTTGCACCTTATTTTTCTCTGCAGAACCCACCATGTTCTCTTTATACGCCCCCACATTCCTCAGTGCCCTCTCATTGCTAAACAGATCCAAAAGGATGTGTAATGAAACCAATTTGAATTCCTACTTCATTGTGCTCAAACGGTTCTGTTGTGTAGCACATTCTTCTGTGAAACCACTTTCAGGTGAAACCTTGCTGGTTACTCATAATTAGAATTTAACATCCACTAGAGGTCTGGGAAAGGTTAAGAGCACACGGGTCTCTGGAAGTTAAATAGTGGATGGCTTGCTACAAAAGTCAACTAACGTCTTCCCTAGATTCTCAATATTCTGGGCAGAGGACAGAAGAAATCAGAATTGTAACCTGTGTGTGAAACTACTGAGGTCTCCAACACTAAAGTGGCTCAAAACTGAAAGCCATGCCCAGGTGGCAGGAGATTTTGATAAGATGCAGAGGCATCATGAACAGACTCCGACCATGGTGTTTATACAAGATCAGAATTTACATAAACATACTAAAAAAGGGGGGAAGAAAAATTACTAAATGAGATATAACTACAATGGATGAATTTTATGGCTTGCAAGCTATACATCAATAAAGTTTAAAAATATTATATGCCAAATAATATTTTGAATATTAATTTCATATTTGGTCTAGAAACTTCACTTTCTTTACTGAATTTTAAAAATAACATATGGGTACAAGTTTATCCACATGTCTGTGTGTGTACACACACAGCTCGAAGAGCATGCAAATGAACTTTATCAAACAATCAAATGTCTTCTGTCCTGCTTCCTGATTAGACTTCATTTGTCAAAGTACTGCCTCCGAGTGGCAGGGTAACTAAATTACAAGTTTGATGGCTTAATAATAAATCTCCTCAGAGCTGAAGAGGACACCAATGGCCAAAAAAGGTACAATGTCTTTTGATGGAATTGTGGCAAACAGCTTAGTCTTACAGAAACATCCTCTCAGAGCTGCAAATGTGATTTCCATTTTGCAATAACCGATTTCTAGGCAGAAAAGGCAAATTGTACTGTACTCTGATTTTCTTGATCTTCAGGAGGTTCTAGAACCTTCACGAACTCCACATTCACATGGATTTCAACTCCCAACATCAGGGCCACCTTGAACAAGATGAGCTGCAACTGGCGAATACCTGTTAGAAAGGAAGGGAGAAAGAGATGAACTGTGAGTAGCCATGTCTGAGTGTCTCCTTTGGGATCATTATTTTTATTTTTATAGATGAGAAACTGAGGCTCAATGACACTAAGTGACTTGCTCAAGATCGCACAGTAGTAAAACTAGAATATAGACCCAGATTTGTCCGATTCCAAGACTCTGCTCTAGCTGTTAGATGATGCTATCATGATGGAGGAGGCTCTCTCTTTCCTGCTTCCTTCCTGAGGTGCACTGTGGGTTTGACAAGATGACGATGGAAAGAGGAGTAAGGGGCCATAGGTAAAGTCAGCTCATTCTGTGAGGACGAGGCCAAAGCTGTTAGCCATCCACGGGGAGGAGTGGGGTGGGGAATTCTCTCCACCAACCTGGGCTCATGGTTCTCTGCCTCCTACCCACTCTCCTAAACTTCCCCAATGAGTGCCAACTTGTTTCTCTATTTTGTTCCCTGCCTTTCAGCACAAGTGGACATGCCCCCCAATATTTTTCTGCAGAGCACAAAGTTTCAGACTTTCTGCGGGTCCCTCTGTATTTCGTGGGCTTCACTCATTTAACATTTATTGAACATCTGCAATGAGCCAGGTGCCATGCTAGGCCCAGGAGATACGGAATACTCCCTCTAACAGAGGAAGCAGAGGTAAACAGAGTGGGGCAGGGCATCGCGGTTGGGGGCAGGGGAATGGCAGAACAGGCCGGAGCTGTAGTTCTGAAAGCTTGAACAGAGGAGGGACCAAGAATATCAACTCCCACAAAGAGATTAAGGAATATAAAGAATACAGGAGGTCAGGGCACTTGGGAGTTAAGAAGCTTCTGGAGACCTTGGTGAAACACTCTGTAGCTCAGGGGTGGGAGAGAAATCAGACCACAATGAAAGGAGGCATAAATAGATATAGACAAAGTCTATATCTATCCTTTCTAGAATAAATACTTTGAAGTAAAGAAAAGTAATGGGCAATAACAGAAGACTGGAGGGGCATTTGGGAGGTAAGATCAAGTACGGGAGACCAAGGAAGGGAACAGGTGAAAAGGAGAAAAGTCCAAGAGGGACTAGAGTTGGAAAGGAGGCAGCCAGTTATGCCTCTGACACTGGGTTGAGAGGAAGGAATGTGTACTTGGATGGAGGTGAGTGCAGGAGGAAGGAGAGGGGGCTGGAAGGGGATGTGTCCGTCAGTGGCTTCTCTTCCCCAGAGCACAGGAGGGAGGCCATCTGCTAAGAACGAGGAGGCTGTAGTGGAGGTTTGGAACAGCCCCAGTGGGAAATGGAGGAAGATGCTGACACAGGACACGCTGAGAACTGGTGAGTAATGCTGAGGTCCAGGACACAGCTGGGGCTGGAGACCATGGTCGGTCTGAAAGGAAGCCAATCAGCTAGGGCCTAAAGAATCCAATGTACCTCCTGCCTGTTGGAGGAGGCCTGGCCTTTCCTTATAGTTTCAAGATTCCAAGTCTAACTGGTTCCAGCACACAGTCGGTGCTCAATAAGTTTGCCCTGCCTCCCTTCTCACAGGTATTGGAATTGCTCTTGACAATGACTGCCCTGAATCTCAGTTCCAGAATCCTTCCAGTGTTTCTGCACACTGGGATATTTCCAAGGACTCGGAGTTAAATGGAAACCCCATCAGTGGGGCAGAAAGGGGCTGCTGGCCTGGAAGGCAGCCCAATAGTCCTGGGGCCCTCACAAGGCCTCCTGGTGCCCAGCTCTGCCTCTCAGGAGGGTCCGATGAGAAACTGGGGCTCAATGTCACTGTTCTAAATCGGTAACCAACACACATTCTTCCGTGGGTGGTAGGAAATATCCTGAAAGCTGACACTGCAGTTTTCTAGGCAAATCCAAATTACTTTCCAATGGACTCCTGGAATTTTCTCAACTCAGAATGGGAATAAACTCTGGGGCCACTGCTGGTAAGTTCTCCTGTGTCTAACTAAATTATACCCTATGTGGCTGATTATTCTCTCTAGTCATTCCCACTTGGACCCCAGACCCTTTCCCATCAGGTCCTGTCTTCATATAACGTGGCTTTCAGGGGGCTCCACCCGCCCGTCGGTTGAGAGACTGCAGCTCTGAGTTCTGGAGTTTGGAGACCCTGGCTGCTTTTTGCTCATTGTATACTGTTGGATGTAAAGCATTTCCTGAGTACCTACTACGTTCCAGGCACAGTGATAGCACATTACAAGCTTGACCTTCTTTAATCCTCTCAGCAACCCTGGTAGGAAGGCATTGATCACATGTTACTTACCTCTAGGCCTCTGTATTCCATACCTCATTAACTCATTCAGCGGAGGTTTATTAAGCATCTACTGTGTGTCCAGCACTTTTTTATGCCCTGGAGATATCCTTGTAAGCAAGATGTGACACAATCCTTGACCTCATGGTGCCTACAGCCTAGTGGGGCATAGCACAGGACCTGGCACAAGGCACAGAGCAGGCTCTTCACAAAATATCTGCCAGTTGGATGTGTGGAGTCCCCATGGACATGAACATCCTGGGAACTCCTCAATGTGGAGAGATGTATCCCACCCAGGGTCGGCCCCTTCCCCTCATGGGGTGCCACCATCAGCTCTACTTACTGATGTGGTCGATGGAGCCAGCACAGAACTTTCCATAGAACTTCTTGGCTCCCAGTCCTCGCAGGTCATGGATAGTGAAAGGCCAAAGGTGTAGCACGTTGTTCCGGGAGAAAGTGTCCCTCTTCTCCACCACGACCACTTTGGCCCCTAGGTAGGCAAGTTCAATGGCAGTGCGCAAACCACATGGTCCTCCCCCAACAATGAGACACTGCAAAGGTGAGAGAGGAGAGAGACACTCAGTGACCTCCAGGACTGTAGACAAAAACTCCTAGTTAGCAGCGTAACTGAGGAGCAAAACCCCATCCACCCAAATCAGCTAGCAAGTGCAAACCGAAGCACCTGTTAGGACCTGCCATTCATCAGTCCAATGTACATTACCTGTGGGCCTACCATACTCCAGGCACTGCGCCAAACCCTATGAGGGATACAAAGGTAAAGGGACTTTTGTGGGGGGCACAGTAAGATGCATGTGGGGTTCAGAGTCGGACTGAACTGGGCTTACATCTCAGCTCTGGCTTTTGACTTCTTAGTTTCCTCATCTGTGAAATAGGTCTGCTACTCTTTTTTCATAGGGTTATTGAAAATAAGATTTCTTTTCAAAAGCCTAGGGTGCATCTTGGTGATCTTGGATCAGGCAATGGTTTCTTAGATATGATACCAAAAGCACAAGCAACAAAAGAAGGAAGAAATAAATTGGACTTCGTCAAAATTTAAAACTTCTGTGCTTCAAAGGCCACTATTGAGAAAGTGAAAAGACAACCCACAGATTGGAGAAAATATCTGCAAAGCATATATTTGATAAAGGACTGGTATCCAAAATATAGAGAGAATTTTACAAGTTAACAATGAAAAGACAGATAACCCAATTAAAGAATGAGCAGATAATCTGAATAGACACATTTTCAAAGAAGATACACAAATGGCCAATAAGCACATAAAAAAAGATGCTTAACATCATTAGTCATAAGGAAATACAAATTAAAGCCACAATGAGAGACCACGTCATACCCACTGGGATGGGTATAATCAAAAAGACAGACGAAAAGTATTGGCGAGGATACTTTTGGAAAGTATTGGAGAAACCAGAACCCCCATGTGTTGCTGGTGAGAATGTAAAATGGTGCAGATGCTTTGGAATAGTTGGCCATTCCTCAAAAAGTTAATATAGAGTTACCATATGACCCAACAATTCTACTCCCAGGTATATACCCTAGAGAAATGAAAATATATATCCACACAAAAACTTATGTGTGATCATTCACAGCATCCTTATTCATAATAGCCAAAATAACCTGTGTCCCTTAACTGATATATAAACAAAATGTGATGTATTCCACGATAGAATGTTATTCAGCTATAAAAAGGAATGAAGTGCTGATATATGAATGAACCTTGAAAACATTATGCTAGTGAAAGAAACCAGACGCAAAAGGACACATTGTGTGATTCCATTTATATGAATTGTACAGAAAAGGTAAATCCATAGACAGAAAGTAGATTAGTTGTTGCAAAGGAAGCGGGGAGGGGAGATTGGGAAGGGACTGCTGATGGGTACAAGGTTTCATTTTATGGGGATTAAATGTTCTCGAATTAGATGGTAGTGGTTGCACACATTTGTGAATATACTAACATTACTGAACTGTATACTTTAAAAGGATGAATGTTATGGCATGTGAATTATGTTTTAATGAAATAATTGTGTATTAAAAAAAAAAGCATATAGTACCAAGTTTGACACACACTAGTCTGGATGTTATTCTTATTGCTGAGACCTAGTCCTAAGAACTCTCAGCTGTAAATTCAGGCTTGTGAAATAAATAAGTTGAACTCCATGTGGTTAGTTTTATTTGGACCTCAGAAGGGGAAAACTGGAAAAGACTTCACAGAGGTCTTTAAAAATTATCATCACTACTTTCTTCTTCCTCTCCCCTTCCCCCTCCTTCTCCTCCATCAGCATCAGCAGCAGCAGCAGCAGCATCATCATCATAGCTTACATTTGTTGAGCACTTTCTTTGTGCCAGATGCTGGTTTAAGTGCTTGATGTGTTTCACCTTTTAATCCTCACAAGAAAGCAAAGAGACAGGAACTATTATTATCCCCATTTCACTGACAGGAAAACTGACACACAAAGCAGCTAAGAATTTGGCCCATGGTTTTACAGATTGGAAGGGGCAGAGGCAGGATTCAAACCCAGGCAATATCACTCCAGATCTCACCATGCTGTACTGCTTCTAGTTTGCCATAATAAAAAGAAGAAAGAACATTTCAGCAGAGGGGATGGCCCATTTAAAGAGAAAAGGAAAGAAGTTCAGGGCGGCTGGAGAAAGGGATAGTTTGGGGGAAGGGAGAGGAAGGAGAGAAGAGAGATAAAAGTTCACCTGCAGCCAGATGCTGATGGCCTTAAACGCCAGGTGAAGGAGTGTGGCCTTGCTCCTGTAGGCACTGGAGCCATGGTGGGCCGACAAAAACAGGATCTTGTACAACTTTCTACATGCTATGTCTTATTGGACACTGTGACATTGCACAAGATAAGGGTCCTTCCCCCAAGAAAGCTACAGCCATTTAGGAGAGAAGGTAAGATACATAATGACCTAGCTAGTTATACTGGGCAAAAGCCCTTTATTTAAACACAATCTTATGAGGAGCATCAATACTATTTAAAAAGAGAAAAAAAAAATGGCAGTTTTCTGGCAGAGTCAAAGACACCCCTACACAGCACCCTGCCCTCCTCCCAGGCAGCACCTGAAGCAACTTCCTGAGGCAAGAGTTCACCTGGGGGGGCCTAAATAACCGAGGATACCCCTGCAAGGCAAGAGGGAAGGAGATCTGCACCCACACTTCACTTTTCGACATTACAGAGGCATCCAGAAACTTCCCTTCTGCCCTGGATCAAATCTAATCTTACAAAAATGCATTCCCTTTCCCCTAGCAAATATTCCATAATCCATTTATCACTCATTTGGGGCCTCCGGTGTCCCAAAGGGGAAGCGCGAACAAGCATATCAAAGTTCCCACACCACAATCAGTGCGGCTCACTGCTTGGAACCTTCCAGAGAGTTTGTAGAAGCCCCATCAGGGGAAATGAAGTAACCGCTGAGATACAGCTCACTCCAGAGATGTAGGGAACGAGTGTGCAAATCCCTTGGCTTCCTTTCCGGTGGGAGCTGACTAGAGACAGCCAACTCCCCCTACACCCAGCCCCACTTCTTATCTCACACCCCAAACAGCTTCTCAGGCTCGGACATAGCCAGACAATGACAGGCATTTCGAAGCAAGACTCCAAACCCCAGCGCTTGTGAGGTTGGCTTTGGGGTTAAGTCTAGATTCACTGCATTGCTTTGCAGTTAGTGCATCTTTTCCTGTTTGCTGAGTTCTGTCACTCCAGGGCCAGGGATGGAGAGGGGGTGGGAGGATGTGGGGTTTGGAAGGGCAGGAAGAGGAGGGGAGCCCTCCTGCATCCTTTCATCCACTGGGCCTAGGACAGGGCAGGACAACCCCTTCCCACCAGCTGGGGGGCTGCCGCGCATTTCTCATGCACACAGTAGCTGGTGTACTGTTTCTAACACCCCCTCTCCTCCCAGCTAAACCTGAGATCCCATCAGCAGACACTCAGTTTTCCCACCACCCTGGGCCCCGGCGCATACTTTGGACCTGAAATTTCAGAGACGCCAGTCATACCGTAATCTAAAGTCAAAGTAAATACCCATGGGTCTAATTATATAAAGGGAGAAAATTTGGTGCAGATGTTATCAAGACAGGAGAGAAGGCGGTTGGCAGGGGCCAAAGCAGTTCCTCTCAGCAAACGCTTGTTATGATTAACATGGGAACTCGGAGTTCTGACAGGAGGCCGAAAACTGTGGCTGCTGCACGCCTAGGCGAGGAGCCGGGGAGGAGGGCTTCCCCAGCGTGCCCACAGTGGATGACGGCGTGGTGCGAACGCCATGGATGCAAAGCAGTATGACAACTCAACCCCCAGGAACTCCCTACCTTTCTCAGGCACAGCTGGGCTATCGCTGCTGAGGGCTTACTGCCAGGAAAGAAAACTTTTCATTAAAACTCATACCAGAGGCCTTTTTCCTTGTGCCCTAAAATAGGCGGTGCATTCATCCCACCAGCTCTGTCCTTAGTGCCAGAACTAGGCTATCCATGTTATAATTATCTGCATCTGATTCCCAGGTCAGCGTTAAGTGTCCTCTGCGGTAGTGAATGCTCAGAGCCCAGCACAGGGCCTGGCGCACAGGAGGCCTCAATAAATAGTTGATGGATGCACAACCTTCCCACACCTTCGCCGCCCACCCAGTTCTGTCTGTCCCTAGCCGGGATGTACAGTGCACATCAGCCAGGATTTATGTCTATAGATTCCCACCCAGGCCGGGGGAGCTGGGGTCTGCCAAGGCCACTAGCATCACGGACGTCAGCAGATCTGTGTGCTTTAGGTGACATAAATTTATTACCCAGTGGGGAGAAGGGCAGATCCAACGCCAGCAGGAAGTCCATTGTATAGATAAGCTTGGCAGTACTTAGGCCTACATGTTTGCAGAGAGAGACAAACACCACATGGAAAAATCAGCTTTTTATTACCAAGGGTTGAGAAGAGACAAGGGGACTTGCCAACAGTCAAAGCCCAGCTCGCACAGACTCTTCTGCTATCCCAGGGGGGTCCCGCAATCACTACCTACTTCTTGATGACACAGTGCGTCTCTCAAAGCACAAGTGGGTGGGTGTGCTGGGACTGCACCAGGAATGCTAACAGAATTTGGTCCCCAGAGTGAGCCGCCAAGGGGACCAGAGGCTAAGCCAGGGGTTAGCAGTCTGGAGACTTGATTTCCGCTTTTGAATTCCGCCTCTAACTTCCTTGGGAGCTCTGTGTACAGACACTCCAGTGAGATGGGGCACAAAAGCCAGCACGTGGAGACGGTAGGCAGATGGGGTCTGTGTTCACTAGCTCGCTTCCCTGGGCTCCGCACCTCATTGAGAAGGATGATGATCGTGACTAAACTGCATCACGTTCATCCAGCACTTTGTACTTGCCAGGCACGGCCCTAATCACTTCATGTATTTCATCTTTCCAACTGCCCTGTAAATTAAGGGCCATCATCGTCTCCACTTTGTAAATCAGAAAACTGAGGCATAGAAAAGTTAAGCAACTTGCTCCAGGTACCCTTATTATCCTCATTTTTGAGCTAAGAAACTGAGGCAAAAGAGGGT